TAAAATATGGATTTACAAAAATCATCATTTATGACAAGCTTTTTAATTCAAGCATAAAAAGATATTGAAATAAAAAGTCAGGTGCTTGTTATGGTGTTTAGGCTGATGTTTTGAACATTTTCTAAATCTCTAAAATTGTTGGGAAACCCTGCTCTAGTGTACAGCATTTTTTTAAAAAGACTACAAAAAAAAATCTGCGAAGTTGAAAACTTTTATAAATTGTTTAAATTCTTATCCTCAACATTTGCCAAATGTTATTCATGAATAACATGCCAGGGGGCCAAGAACAATGGCTGGGACGGTGGCTATGACCCTAATCAGTTGTAAGTTTTAAAGGGACTGTAAGCGTAATTTCAAGTTACTTTCCTTGCAGATTCACAACGGTACCCTATAACCCTTTGACTGATCAAGGATATATATATATCCCTATAAGTCTACTGAAACACTGTAAATTGATAAACACTTTGTTTGCAAGCTGTTATATATTTAAGAAATATCAATTATAGTTGCTTTCAAGCGGGTTTCGATAATTATAGTCAGAAAAATCTCTCTATCTCGATGAACAGTCAAAGGTTAAAAGAATACCATTGTAAACTGTACTTGTAGAGAAACAATAAATGAAAGTACTGTTTTCTAAAACAAAAACATGTATAATTATAATATAATATAATTATAAATATAATTTAAAAGCTTGATTGGACAAACCTTTTAACTGTTACCGTTGTGAATCAGACACTAGACACACTATATACACTGAAAGATTACTTGAGATTAATTTTACGTTTCTTTTAAGATTAATATCAATACTTGGAAAGCTGAGCACACCTCTGATTATTACTTTTACAATCATCGCACTAAATTGGAGTTTTTGTCCATTAAAAAGGTTTTGTTGAACTGCCACTGTTTGGTTGAATTTGACGAAAAAAACGGTTTTTTGGAAGAATTCCCCCCCCCCCCCCACCTCTCAAAGATCTCTCAACTGAAAAAGGGGAAATAGACCTCTGCAGCTTAACGGAACGTACTGATTTATAAGAGACCATAATTAATCATTGGGAGAGGGGGGAGCGGCGTCTTCATCATTAAAGTTATATATCTACCTGTAACTCCAAGATATCCGAGACATATTTAGTTCCTTTCTTCTGGCTGAATTTGCAATCTGGTCATAGGGCCTGTTTAAGTCTTGCTCGACTGCAATTTTCAGGAGTTCTCACTGTTCTTTGGGCCCAGCCCCTGAACCTTTTCCATGATTTGCCAAGGAACCGTGTGCAAGATATTATTTTCTAATATCAAACATGGTTGATCTAGAAGGGAGTTTAACCCCAGGAAATTTACCAGAGAACATTTGCTGAATCATCTGAACCCTTTGAGTCACTTTAACATGCAAAAATTTGATAAACATGTAGTTTATAAAAGTTCTTTGTTCAACGGTAAATCTTAGTTTGGCCGACATTGTTAAAACAGTAGCTTTGTACTTTTGTACCAAATGAAATCCAGATGAGATAGATAGATATTTTGAAAACTTAGTAAGCGCATCTCCAAAGAATTTTGTCTTTTATGGAAAACGATCTCTTTATTATTCCAATTGATAGGGGACACCCTGAACTACATCTAACACATGACCTATAATATTTAGAATTAAATTTTGTTAAAATTTCAACAAAATAAATTTGATATAACCAACATAGTGGTTCTTCTTCCTGGCAGATCCATTCTTGAACATTATAAATTGTCAATCATACAATTTAATAAAGATGTTTAGAATTCCAAAAAGTTGTCAAATCTGAAAGGGAAAATGATGATTATCTGACGCATTCTCGATCAGAAAAAGTTTTACCAGACCCCACAAAAAATATTGTTCTGTAATAAGCATAATTCATTTGGTGGTTGATGCCCACTTCCATTAAATAAATTTCTTAATATTTTCCATGAAGATGTGTCATAAAGTACATCATCACCCTGAAATCACAAAAATTTGTTTAAGGTTAATGGTAGGTTAGTTCTAAATGCTGAATATGAAGTCAATTTGAGTACAGACATGCAAGTTCCTAACAAAAGTGCTACATTTGATGAGATATTGACAAATGGTGTCAACATACTACATCTATTATTTTACCCATGCTTTCATCTTAGTCCAAATGAACATTGTTTTAGAAAACAAATAGGTAATATACTGACATACTGTCACATTGTCTAACAAGTTCTGTTTTTTTTCAAAGATACTCAAAAGGCAAGATCCTATCTAGCAGGGTTGCCAAGTGGTTCTGTGTGGAACTAATTAACTCAAAACTGTGGTTCTGATGGTTCCCAGTTGGTTCTATTTTTTTGGGGGGGGGTCTGTATTGGGGAACCATTTAAATTGCTAGAATTAGCAAAAAATTTTTTATAATTCTTAAGTAAAATATTCTGATTGATGAAAAGTAAGGAATATATTTAAACTATTGTTCATTTCAACTACTGCACGTGGTACCACGTGAGTAGTTGAAATGAAAACTATATAATCTAAGCATGCCCACTCTCTAAATTAGTTACAGCCCTTTTTATTTTTTGATGTGATATTTTAAATCTGCCTTCATCTAGGCAGGTCAAGCACTATTTTAAGATCTGCAGAAAAGGTCTCAAACAACTATAATGGAAGGAACTGAGAAGTGGTAGCTTTAACCTTCAAGCTAACAGAACTAATTCTAAAGTAGTGAATTTGACAATCTTTAGTTAGCATTTATTATTGTTAGCTTTATAACCTAGAAATCATGGGAAATTGATCAAAGAAAGTGGGAAATTCCCAAAAAAATATGGAATTCAGGGATTTCCAAACACTCTGAGAAAACATAGCACCAAACTAGAGAGGGGGTGGGCATCTAACCCTCCCCCCCCCCCCCGTCTGTTTAGGGGTTAATAAAAAGTAAACACTGCACAGTGCAGTACAGTTGTAGCTTGAATTTATCCCAATCCTGAATTATATTATTACTAGACAGTATTAATCAATATCTTTCTAAACTTTGTGGTTTTAATTTCTCAATGTTTTGATCAGTAGTTCAGTGAAAGTGAGTCACTTAATGCGTTATACATCACTAAATAATTAATCTATTAAAACATTCAAAAGTTGAGAATTAATGAAATAAATTTACAAGGTTAATTTACGTAACAGGGGGTTAATCCCATTTGGGGTTGACCAATTAGTAAAAAAGGGGTGCAAATTTATTTAAATGGGAGAAAATCATTTTAAAATGAAAATTCTAAAATTTATTTGGGGCAAAATATGGTTATTGGGTACAATTTTGAATTTAATTGGGTTTTATTTGTCTACTGCTGTGTGGAAAAATAGTTATTGGGGCAAATCTGAGTGGAAATAAAGAAATAAAAGAAAAAAAGAGGCATTTTTTGTGGTTTACTAAAAATTAGTGATAATTTAAAACTTATTTTGAAAACCGGAAGCAAAAAAAAAGAGGAAATGGACCCAAAAAAAGAGGAAATGAACCCAAAAAAGAGGAAACCGATCTACAAACTGAGAATTTATAACATTTTTGAAAACCGGAAACTGACCCAATTAAAAAAGGAAATGGACCCAAACTCACTTTTCGGTCTGTTTCTGAGATGAGGTGTTTCCATAGCACCCAATTAACAGAGGCACAAGTTCAAGCAATATTAAGGGATATGTCCGAATTAAAATTAAACACTCAATATGCTTTTAAATGTATCCTGTTTCAGAAATTTCCTAACATGATTTCTTAAAGTTAGATATGCTATGAAAGAAAAAAAAATTAAATTTACTTCCTTGTGCGCCAAATAGAGTATGGTCCCAAACCTAAGAGAAACTTTGTAGCTTTGCTAAAGCTTCTCATATATTGTCTCAGGACAGGCGACCATGACTTAAAACATGTATGTTTCTACAGGGTTACTCGGAAACTTATAATTTCTCCTTATACCAGTCATGGGAGACAGGAAAGACTAGTTTAGTAAATGAGGAAAACATGAAAATGCTATTGAGGGAATTAATGATAGTTTTCCCCAGAAAGGTTTTTATATGTGCAACTTAGTATTAAAAAATTTCACTCTTCTTTCCCTATCCCCCCCTCTTGAAGAAACTTATATTTACAACCCCCCCACCCCCACCCAGGATGAACAATCTTCATCCAATCCCCGTCCCCCCTTTTTCAAGTTTATTTAAAATAATCAAATGAAATTATTTTGAGAAGCTGGTTGTTTTAAAAAGGTCGTCACGACAGGTGAAGGGAGGCAGGGGAACATTCTCTGCCAGTTTGGCCAGGATCAGATTCACCCATATCTGTAGTTTTCTCATCATTAAAGGCAAGAGTTTCAAGATCAGCCTGAGCCTTTGTTTCACTTTCCTAATGTCCTAGATAGATAAGATTGCTTTGATTATCACAGTTCTTGTGATCCGGTTCCATAGGATCCGCAAGATTTTGGCTCTCTGGATCCAGATACGCAAATATATGTGGATCCATGGATTCAGATTGAAGGGGCAAAATATCAACTAAAAACTACAAAAACAAATTTTTTACTCTTAAACCCCAAATCTCAACTATCTAACAAAGAGAAATTATAAAAATTTCCTGATATCTGAAGGGTTCATCAAGTTTTAGCATAAAAAGTGAAACCTTCTCCGAGTGGTTGGAACTAAGGAACGGGTGTCTATGCTGCTCGGTTAAGGATAATGGGGTTAAGGCAGGAACAATCAACTTATCAATCAATCAATCAATCAATCTATTTATCTATCTATCAAACAGTTTACCTGTCAAATAGTCCGAAACAATTTTTGTCACACAAAAAATTAGCTGTTCTAATTTAGAAAAAAAAGAAATTACAATTTTTCATGGTTTCCTGAATTTTACCTCTATTTCAGGACAAATTCTAAATTCCATTATAATGTCAATGTTAAAATCAAACAAATTTTTTTTCCATTTTATGATGATAATTAAGTTGATGGTAATATTGATAATAATGATGTTGATGTTGATGATGATGGTAGTATTGACAAAATATTGAAAATTTTGCTATGTTGAAAAAAAATAAGTCAATTTTTAAAGAAATAGCCTGGATCTGGATCTGGATTTGAATCCAGATCCACTTTTACCAGAGCTTATTCAGGATCTGAATCCAGATCCCCATACAAATTTAGTAGATCCTATGAGGTTGTCACTTCTGGAAAATTTAAATGAGGAACACCTAATATATTAACTCTATCATATTTACCAAAGGATTGGGATTCAAACTCTTGGATGTTTTTAGTTGTAGTGCTCAATCCATTTCCAATCATAGATCTTCTGGCATTTGCTGAACAAATTTGAAATATCAAAGGGACTGTTTTTGAAATTTTAAGAGCATGCTTCACAGTTTTTATGATCTGGATCCGTTGGATCCGCAAGATTTTGGCTTTCTGGATCCGGATCTGCAAAAATATGTGAATCCACAGATTCGGATTGAAGGGGAAAAATATCAACTAAAAACTGCAAAAACAAATTTTTTAATCTTAAAACCCAAATCTCAACTTTTTAAAAAAAGAGATATTACAATATTTCCTGATTTCTGAAGGGTTTATAAGTTTTAGCAAAAAATAGAGAAAAAAATAAGACAAAAAATTGAAAATTTTGCTTTGTTAAAAAAATTAAGTAAATTTTAAAGAAATAACCTAGATCCGGATTCAATTTTTCCAGTGCCTATTCAGGATCTGGATCCGGAGCAGCATCAAAATTAATTAGATCCTAAGCACTGGATTATCATGAACATTTAAATGAGGAACTCTATTTTGTTTACCTAACAACAACTGAGATTCAAACTCTGTGATGTTTTCAGATGGAGTGCTCAAACCATTTCCAATCATAGATCTTCTGGCAGATGCTGAATAAATTTGAAATATCAAAGGGACTGTTTCTGGAATTTCGAGTAATCCTCAATTATAAGAGGAGAATGCCTAATTAACAATAGTACTCAAATAGAAAGTGACAGCTTGCAAACAAAGCGTTTAATAATTAAAAGCTTGTGAGCAGATAACATGCCCCATAGGGATATTAAAAGATTTAGAGAAGTTAAGCATTTTTAACCAGGAGGAAAGAAAAATTTTAGCAGTGTCACCTAAACATTCACCTACATCAGATTGAGAGTGAGATTCCCGTTTCTCTCCTTCACTTTCAGACATCTCCTCTCTTCCTTATTCAGTCTCAACAACACTAAACAAATTTGTGTTATCTAGATGACTGTTGTCATTTTAAGTGATCTTCCCCTTTGTCTGATCAATATAATGGAAGATATGTTCTTTCTTCTGTAAGTGATCAATTTGCACATTATCCTATATATTTCTGCGTAAATAAGGTAAACTGTAATTTGTTATCATTATTGTGAATTATTATAAACCTCATCAGACACTCCATCATACAACCAGAGGTTGATGCTTTGGGTATTAATGGATTGAGGAGAACCCGAGCATGGATGGATTGAGATTATTAACTGAGTAAAGATGGATTGAGAGGAATTACTGGAGAAATGATGGATTGAGATTATAATGTGAGGAAAACTAAACTGAAAGGAGAAGGATGAATTGAGATGAGAAACTAAGCACAGATGGATTGAGAGGAGAAACTGAGCAATGAACTAACTGTGTGTGTGGGGGGGAGGGGCGGGGGCAATCCTTTAGAAAAAAGGACATACTTTCATGTCTATCTATGTTAACTCTGCCTTATATTTTAAAGACTAGAAAAACAAAGGGACTGTAGTGTCAATTTCTATTGTCTCGCCATATAAAGAAAGCTTTGCCTGATTTACAATCCATTAACCTTTAAAATGAAGACATCTTCGTCCTTCTATCTTAAACTGTTCTCACAATTTTAAGTTCATTTCTTTGTCACTTTTGCTCAGTTAAATATTTTCTACCTATAAATTAAGCAGGGTTAACTGTACATTGTGCAACCTTGAAATTAGGTCTACTATTCCAGAACTTTTTTTGTCCTAGTATGTATTTTGTAATAAAGGAATAAATGAACTGTATTTTGAAAACTGTTAAACTGATTTGAGAGGATCTGGGAAGAAATATTTGAATAAAAATGTAATAATAGCAAACATTGTTTTACAGATATTTAAGTTTTAAAGGGTCAGGATCCATTAGATGCAAATTTTAAAAATCTGCAATTATATGCCGATTCATGGGAGTTTTCTTTGTTTGATGTGCAAGATAGCTGTTGTTAACTCTGAGTGCCCCCCCCCCTTTCCATGGATTAAGATAAAAATTTCAAAATATCTACCAAAACGTCTATAACAAATATATTTTAAGTCAAAGTGATCCTGATCATTGAAGAAAGGTAAAGTATTAAATTGAAAAATAGTTTGAGCTGATCCATATAACAGGTTTCTTCATTCTTTAACAGCAAGTATCAAAATAAAATGGATCTGGAAAGATCTACAAGGATATTTAAAAACTTACAATGATTTTCAAAACAAATCTATAGTTGATTTCGAAGATTTTAAACAGACTAACTTGTGAATAAATTTACCTAAATCTGAATATCCAGTTCAAATAGGTGAAGATGCAGCACCAGGAATGAACACGAGGGAAACTGTACTTGTGTCTTATGGAATTTAAAAGAGAAATTTGACACAATCTTTGATCTTCAATTTAATTTGTCAATTTTCTGAAACTCCTTTCCAACTTACACCCCTCTTATCTTCATTATACTCCAGATTTCTTGAGATGTATTAAATAAATTAACAAAGATAATTCTATTCTATTCTCTGTAGATGTTCCAGAATTGTACACAAATATACCTCAGGATGACAATCTAGAATTCTGTAGAGAAGCTCTTGAAAGCAGAACTGATAAATCTGTACCTACATCATTTCTGATGGAGCTGCTAAACATTTGTTTGAAAAATAACATATTTGAATCGGGTGGTAAACTGTGCAAACAATTGATAGGAACAGAATGGGAATACATCCAGCGCCTTCCTATGCAAACATATTTATGGCTAAGCTTGATGATCAAAATGTGAAACATGTAAATACATACAAACTAACATCAACCTAAATGTACCATTATTATTAATATAAGAACTTAATCATGTTTAAGAGGGGAGGAAGGAGATTAAAGTGGGGTTGTCTTATCTCCCTCCACCTGTCTCCTCATCAATCCTCAAAACAATGCCCATGCCCATCCGCACTGTTAAGAAGCTTTTGGAAAGAAAAAGAACATTTTAGGTGGCATTTATTAATTTAACTTCTCTTAATTAAATACTTAAAATATAAAAACAACCTAAATAATTCTTTAGCTAGCACATATAAAATTTACCTATGCTGAAAACTTTAGAATTGGATATCAAAATTAATGCTTTATCTTATCTTATTTCAAGATTAATTTAATCTTAAGATTGTATCAACCAAATGTATAGTATATAACATCAGCAACCAAGTGAGATTTGGAACCCAGAACAATCAATCCGAGACACCCGAAAATTTCATGCTCCCATTCAATGAGTGAACTCTTTAAAGAGAAAAAGAGTGGAATAAGAAGGAAATTAAAAGTGTCCACATTGGATATTCAAAATAAGAAATCGGGATTAAAGGTTTCCAATTGTTAAGTTTTCAGCTCAATAAAAGTATGCCATTTTATCTTATTATCATTATTATTATTTATTATTATTTACCTATGGAGTAACTGATCATAATGGATTCTGTAAGATCACAGAAATAATAACATTTAAAGCGTTATATGTAAGAATTAGAATTCAGTATTTTTCTCCCCCGCTTTTGAAAATAATCTTACCTCCCAGAAAATACATGTGTTTGCGCAATATTTGTTACTGCAGTGAATTAGGAATAATGAAAAGATTTTTAGGATGAAAAATAATAATTTTTGGTCAAAAACTATTAAAAAGATTTTTAAAAATCCAGTTTAAATTTTTCACCATTGAACAAATTTCTGAAAAATTCTGAAAAGTATATACCACAGAGTCTCATCCTTAATATGAACCCTATACTATCATTAAAACTTACCGAAGTAACTGCCACTCAAAGAAAGTTCCCGCATTGAGAATGCTTAAAGAATAAATTGTTAGAATTGAAAATACTTCCAAGATTTTGTCACACAAGTATATAAAAGAAAGATAAAATTTGATAAACACTGTTTTATAGAACATGAAATTAATAAAACTTTTGCCAAAACGTTTTGTTTTAAATACATTAAAAGTTGCATTACAACCAAAAGAGATCTAAAAAGTTTTAGCTGAACCCCAGATTTTAGAAGATTTGCATGACCTAGTTTAAAATAAGGGTTGTTAAAAATAACTTGCATTATCGTTCCCACAAAATTGTCAATTTATCAGCACAATTAATGTGTATGAATTATGAAAGCAATAAATACATTTCTTTACATTCCCCGCATTGTTTTCTGCACTCTTCGCATTTTCCGCAAAATTTACCCCTTTTTCTGAAAATTCCATAATCGTTGGAAAGTTTTCGCTTTTTTGACGGCTGAACTGGCTTCGAGGGTTGACCAAATACACTGACCTTTTCAATAAGAAAATATAAAAACTGTTAAAAACGTATTGAAACACCCCACTTAAGCTTTCAGAATAAAAATTATAATTATTAAATGCAAAGTTTATGAAAATATTGACACTATTTAGGCAGAATTAAGTAGTTTAATAGAAATTGTCCTGAATGATTAAGAATGGCTGTAAGTATTAATGGTTTGATTCTAATAAACGATTTTAATAAATATTTTAACAACTTTAGATGAATTTAAATGATGATTACCAATATCTCCTATTTACAAATCAAGTGCATAATAATGTACCCACCCCCCCAATTCCCCTAAAATAGAACTACCTTTTCAATTTAATACTCTTTGCAGGAGTTTCCAGCCCAACTTCAGGCACAGGGGTGCTAAACATATATACATGTTAAAGGGACTGTACTAAATGCCACATTCACAATAACGGAGATATAAAAACAATCATTTTCTATTGCAGTTTCCCATTTAGAATTAATCTCTAAGAGAACGAAACAACAATTTCTTCCTCATGGAGAAGGATTTAAAAAGTACTATTTGGACATGGAAAAACTAATATAAAGGTTGAAATTACTTCGACAGTCCCTTTAAAGTGACTGTTCACTTGTTTGGATAATTTCAGGGTAAACTAAACAGCCTATTCCCTGTTGATTGGTAATAGTCTTACTTTTCAAAGAAAACTATGGCCGGAGAAAAAGCCGATTTTTTGTTCAGAATTCGAGCTGTTTAGTTAAGTGAACGGTCCTTATAATGTGAGTGATGCTTAGGTAAAGTAAAACGAAGTGAAACCGTGAAACAAAATCGTAAAAACTAAAATTTACCTGGTTGACCATTCTTCTTCAGAAAAGGAATCTAGGAAACATCTTATAAATCTCTCATTTAAAATAACTATAACTGGTTGACCTAAATAACCCCCCCCCCCTCACAGCATTCTTACAACCCTCCAATTAGCACCCAACTATTAAAGTTAGCGGCCTAATTTGTACTTAGTGAGCTTGAAAAATTGGGATATAATTCATTATAACCCATACCTAAACTATTTATAAGACACTTTCTAGACCAAGCAATACAGCTAGGACAAACTAAGGGGGGCCGAGCACTGCAGCTAGGACAGATTAGGGGGGCCAAGCATTACGTCTTGACAAGCAAGGGGGCCCAGTGCCGAGGCTAGGGGGCTGGGTGCTGCGTTCACATGGTGAATTCAGAATTATATCCATGTCAAGTACATGAAAGATCCATGTTCAAATTTTTTCAGGGGCATACCTGAATCACAATGGTACCCTATACACTAACCCCATCAAAGAATCATCAAAGCTATTGAGTGCTATGTTTTTTTTTGTTTAAATGTTGTATTGCCCCTTTCCAGTTCATACCTTAAAGACATTTAATAGGAGGGAGGGGAGGGGGGCCATCCCCCCAGGCATAGGCTATGTTACTAAGATACAGCCTAAAAATATATTCCGCATTGTGGCAAAATTAAAGGTTAGTAGGGTACCATTGTGAATCAGGTATATCACTCTATAAAAAGAGGGTAAATTAAAACTTAAAAAAAGTATTAATGATAACTAACCTATAATTAACCCTGTCAAAGTATTAGATGTTTCTACCACCGTGGGTACGGTTTGACTGAAAAATGATAAACCTGAACCTATTATCTGGACTAACTAAGGGTGCATGTGGATGCTGAAAACATAAGTACATCTGTACAGTGCGTAAATTGTAATTTGTACTGTATGTATTCTCTTTTCATGGTTTCAGGGGCGTACAAGAGCATTTCTGTAGGGGAAGAGGCAGATTTTGTGAAAAAAATATTGATACTTTTTATCTATTCGATCATATATACACAACACACTTCCATATTACAAGTGTTAGTAAATTAATTATGTAATTTTTCTAACCCTACAAAGGCTAAGGGTTCTGAATCTATGTATAGCCTGAGGGGGCGTTTAGCGCCCCCTCCCCCCTAGAAAAAGACCATAGAGATTAGGTGCACCATCAATCATATTTACTAAATTACTTATTATAACTTTAAGATGATGATCTGAGGAAATGGACCTAAAAAATGAGGAATCAGATTCAAAAAAGAGGAAACAAATCAACAAACTGAGAATTTAAAACTTTTTTTAAAAACCAGAAGCGGGCCCAAAAAAAAAAGGAAACCGATCAACAAACTGAAAATTTTAAACTTTTTCTGAAAACTGGAAATGAACCCAAAAAAAGAGGAAACCATCCAACAAACTGAGAATTTAAGCCTTTTTTCTGAAAACTGGAAACTGACCCAAGGAAAAGAGGAAACGGACCCAAATAAAGAGGAAACCGATCAATAAATTGAGAATTTAAATTTTTTTAAAAACCAGAAATGGACCCAAAAATTGAGGAATTGGATCAAAAATATTGGGAAATCCCTCAAAAATATTGAGAAATCCATCAAAAAGACCTGTATAAACCGGAATCCGATCTAAAAAAAATTTTAAATTTTAAAAATTTTAAATTTAAATTCTTCTACCAATATTTACAACCAAGGCTAAAGGGCTCTATCTCTTTTTACTATTTAAACAATGATGAAGAATTTTCTAGTTATGGAATATTTTTTCCTAGATTTTTAAAATAGTTCAAAACTCTTTTATCTCTGTCTAAAGTAGGGCTGGGCGCGTTAACAGTGGAACGATCGTTCTTTCCCGAGAACGAACGGAATGATCAAGAACGATCCCATCGTTCCGAAAAAAAAACGAACGCTTAGAACGCGTTCTTAAAAATATTGGAACGATTAGTAAAAGAACGGAACGGAACGGTGAACAGAACAAGAGGGATGCAACCGTTCTTCAACTAAGAACGCCAAGAACAGAACGGAACGGGAAGACCGTTCTTCTACTCAGAACGGAACGGAACGGGACAGAACGGAACGAGAACGGAACGATAAAAAAAAGAGGAACGAGATCGGAACGATTTAGCTGAAGGCCCTCGTTCTAGAATGGAACGGAACGATTTCAAAAAAGTTGGAACGTGCCCAGCCCTAGTCTAAAGAACTGGAGACAACTGTAATCAACTGTAGACAACTGTAGTCAACTTAAGACAACTGTAGACAACTGTATCTCTGTCTATCTTTGTCTATCTTTGTCTGGAAATATAAATATCATTCATAGGCAATCAATTAAACACATAAAATACAAGTTATTTTAAGTTTCTAATAGTGGCACAATTGCATAAATCCATAATTATCACAGTCTACTGGGACATGGATACATTATTTTATCAACATCCCTTTTGAAACCATCTTAATATTACAATATTTAGAGCAGAGAAACCTGCCAATAATTCTTGAATCTTAAGTTCCTTAAAAAAAACTTTCATTGGCTTTACACAAAAATCTGTTAGAAAATTCTTTTAATGGATATTTTCATGCTCAAATAAATTTGTTAAACATGGAATTAAAGTTTTCAAGAAGGAAAGCAAGAATTTATACTTAAGGGACCATGTCTTTGAACATCTTCCTTGAGATGTAGTGAGGAGTGAACATCAACTGTCAAAAAAGTTTTGCCATGTAAACATTCTCCCTGTTGAATGAATTTCTTAATCAACTCATGAGCATAATTAAGGTAGTTGGCAGAGAATTCGTCATTTTCCATTATTGTTAATGCAGTACTCAGTAGCAGGAAATGATGATACAATGCTTGGGGATATCTTTTGTACAATACATACTCAAATAAATAAGGAATACTCGAGCCTCAGAGGCTTTCCATTTATCAAATTAGTCAAACGGTCTAGGTTTTCGATCAAAATAAAAATTTGAAATAAAGTATTTTAGAATTAATATTTTCTATAGATACTTTTAGATTAGTTATAGGTCATGAAGGAAATTTTTTTTACATTCTGCAAAAAAATGTTATAAAGTTCTAGGATTGAAGAATACATACTGTATATTGAATATATGTTAAACCTCTGGAGATTTTAAAGGGCACTTGAAAAGTGTTTTAACAGATTTTGGGAGGTAAAACAATCTTGGATCATTTCTCAATGTAATTATTAAAGATGAAAGAGCTTCATGCGAGATATGGCAGTGCAGGCTCCAAAATTTAATCTTATGCTTATAGGAACATTGGTCATCTTAATCTTCTAAATCGTCTTCCACACTTAAGATTTACATGCAGTAAATAATAAAAGTATAAGCTACAAGTGGAGGAGGCAGGAGGGGGTGGGGGGCAATCTTATCCTCTGGAAAAGGGAAGAAATGAAAGACAGAAGACGAGGAAGGGAAAGGAGGAAAAGGGAAGGGTAATAGTATTAATGAACAGGGAAAGTAGAAAAGGGAAAAGTAAGGAATCCCAGGAAAAGGTTGAGAGGGAGAGGGAAAGAATAAAGCAAAGGGGGGAGTGAGGGAAATGTTGGAAATTATGGCAAGTGTAAAACGTACAGAATAAAGTTGAGTCTAGAAAATAGTTAAGAAAACCAGCTCTGTCCAGGCTGAGATCATGGGTAACGGTTCTACCTATTTCCTGTAGTCAAAATTCAAGGCAAATTGGTTGGTCCATGGGCTGTAGTATTACCAGAGATCAGTAAGATTATGTAGTAATAAATGCTCTGCATTTCACAGGAAACAATGTATTTAAAGTTTTAAACCGGATTGAAAGTTCTACACTCTAGAATCCGCCATTGTATCTGCCATTGACCACTTGGGTGAAAGAGTATCTGTGTCCTACACAAATTCTGGGGAGCCGAGGTTAAAATTAGCAGCTCCATGGGAACCAAGTCCAACATCAAGTAAATCAGGTTTAACAGGATGGATATCTGGTCCAAATATAAAAGACACAATTGATGTAAATAGTTATTAATATACTTAGCAATGTCGTCAGTAACTTATACTTAAAATCTTAAATAAAAATAAACTGCAGACTTTTATCATTGCATTAGCTTAACCAAATGTTTTAAGTTCACCGAATTCGAAAATTAATTACATTAATAAACATTAAAATGTTTTAGACAAATTTTAATGTGCTTCAAGCACTAACAACACCTTCCTGTGGCCTAACTACAAAACCGTAAATAATGAAGTAGTATACTTGGAGAAGATGTATCATGCATAAATGGAGAAGGTTAAGTACACTTGGAGAAAATGTGTCATGCATAACTGGAGAAGGTTAAGTATACTTTGATCAGTGTGTATCCGAGGAAGGGTATCAGCAGAGCTTTCTAATCCTGTTAAGAGAAAGGGCACTGTGTGCGTTGTACTCTTGTATAGAAGTCTTGATATCAAGGTCACTTCTCTCCACAACTGAGTGGGAAGCATGACTATTCCCGAACAAGATATAGTAATAAAGATGAATACAGAAGGAATACAGAAACCCAAAACATCAGGGATAAAATACAC